GTGTTTATTTTCTTCTCTCTAAAATCAATATTTCTTCTCTAAGAAAATCAATATTTGACGATTTAGTAATTAATATCTTGTTAACTATTGCGGAAATTGTAAAATGGTATAGGACTTTTCGAGACTCAGTTCAATCCGCTCTATCTTTATGCGAGAGTTTTATCGTTACTGATCAAACATCCTATATATATATATATATATATATATATATATATATATATATATATATATCGATAAAATACTCTAGCAGAAGCACTTTAGCAAATACGTTATGAGGCTTAAGATATCTTTTCCATTTTTCCTTCGGATGAGGTATGAACTCATGGTCGGCAATGCGATGATACAACGCATTTACGGCTACATGCTTCCCCTGTCAATCATGTCCATCTAAGATTAATTTCCTTATTTAATTACGTTTTATAAAAATTTTCAAATATATTAAATTATTTATAACAATATATAATTCCAACTAGTGATATAATATTGAAAAAATATTTCTTCGATTGCGGCCTCAGCATGCGACTTATAAAATTTAGGAGAATTGTACTAGCCGTTCCCGTCCAGTATAACTTATAAATACTTATAAAAGTATCCTTCCACTGTTAAAATCTTCGTTTTTTGTGATGCTATTTCATGCGATTGATAACCAAATCCGCCATAATGATCAGAGCTTTCTGATAAGGACTCTTAGTAAAGGACTGAGCGATCTTGCTGGCTTCCGCACAGTGCTTCTTTGCCAAGAATCTTGTTTGTTCAAGACCATTGGATTTGTGCACCAATTCGAAAGCTTTTTCAACATCTCTGGGTTCTTGGAAACGACGCATAATCATTGCATTCAATTCTGGATACTGTAACAGTTGAAGTAACAATATTAAAGAGACGTTGAAAAGACCTATCGATAGGTCTAACATAATAAAGTACCTAATATATCGTAGTACGACTAATGAAAAGATTTCTTATGTTATGATTTACTGAACATTTTGTATACAAACCCGTTCGCAAGCAAAAAGCACCGGAGCTGTAGCCAATCCAAGCTTAAGATCAGCGGCCGTGGGTTTGCCCATAGCTGTTGTAGAAGCTACAAAATCTAGAAGATC